TAAAACTTACTGTAGATTTCTATCAATGTATTATTACATATGTTTGCTGTATATTAACTACAAAATTCATATAAAGTGAGAGAGAGTTTGGAGCAGAGTCAAAGTTTTTAGGTCAAACAAAAGACTGAAACTGTGGAGGATCCAACATGGTTCCCTGAGGAACTCCTTTAGAAACATTAATAAACTGTGATGGTTCTTGTAGAAACCTCAAATATAATTTAGTTTTTAAATAATAATTACATTATTCAAGTGAGTACAACTAACATTTTCTAGAATATCTTATAGTAGACGTGTGTTTGTGCTGATTTTGTGTTTCAGTTCAGTCTGATAAACTTTCCTTGATGGAGTCCAGCCTGGCAGACAGCCTCAACAACTCAGCAGGTAGAGTTAGATTTATATTAAAAAAGATTATGCTTATGTATCTATATTAAATATATCTATATTAAAAACTCCAATCTGACTATTGATCAGCTCTGGAGGTCAGACTGAGATCCACTGAGAAACAGCTGGAGAATCACACTGCAGGTAACATCCACTCTTCAATATTACTTTTAATAAATCATTAATTAAACCATCACATTTAATGAGTTATTTCCTGTTCAGCTTTGGAAGTCAGACTGAGAGTCAGTGAGAAACAGCTGGAAGATCTGAAGACAGAAAACACAGGCAACTCTGATGGTTTATTAAGCACAGTTACATTTGATAAAGAACTTTAAAAGTTCACAGATCTCATTAAGGTTGTTACAATAATATTTGTATTTAAGTTTGATTTCAGTCCCTGACCAACAGGTGTCTTTGTCTACTTACTTTATTTCTGTACTGTGTATTAATGAACCAGATCTTTACGGTTTCCCCTTAGAGCTGGAGGTCAGACTGAGAATCAAACAGGTTCACATATGCCTGTTTGAATGATGGACTGCCTTATTGATTGGCAAACTATATATAACGCAGTTAACACTAGCTAACTTATACAGTATTTAACACTAGCTAACTGTAATTAAAACTAACTGTATATAAAGCAGTTAAAACTAACAGACTATATATAACGCAGTAAATGTGTATCTGTATATTTCTGTCTTTTGTTTTATGTTTTGAATTTTTCTTGTTTCCAGTTTTTCAGAAGCGTCTGATTGACGCTGATAGTCTGACAATGAAGTTACAGACTGAAAGTTCAGGTGATTTACTTTGAATTATGTCATGTTACAAATTTTGACATCCTGAAGAGCATGTAGCTTCAGAGAAGCAGCTGTGAAAAGTCACTGTTCATGCTGTTTAGTCATTTAGTCTAAGCTAGCTTTATTGTACTAATATGTTTTTATAATTTGATGCATATGGTTTTGTGAAATGTATTTAAATATTCCCATTTTACATAGTTAGCATTTTTTTTCAACAACTTTACCTCTTTTAGTTTTTACTCTAAACGGGTCAGATTTAGCATGCTAATGTTAGCTTTATCACCTGGATCGGTTCCACCTGGCAGTTAGTGGCTGTAAATATTGACTTATGTCTGCATAAGAATTAGTAGTTTGAGAGGTGCAACTTGTTTTAATTCAGTGATGATAAAACACTGAAGAAACTCTGACGTTAAAATGAGGGTCCTGATTCATTTTGTGTTTCAGTTCAGTCTGATAAACTTTCCTTGATGGAGTCCAGACTGGCAGACAGCCACAACAACTCAGCAGGTAGAGTTAGATTTATTTTAGTGTTTTCATAGTAGTAGTAATTACTTAATAAATCAGAAATTTACTGTTTCCTCTTTAGAGCTGGAGGTCAGACTGAGTGTCAGTGAGAAACAGCTAGAAGATCTAAAGACAGAAAACACAGGCAACTCTGAACATTTAAAACTTACTATAGATTTAAATCATTGTATTGTTATATATATTTACTGTATATTAACTGTGAAATTCGTAGAGTGAGAGAGAGTTTGGAGCAGAGTCAAAGTTTTTAGCTCAAAGAAACTAAAGACTGAAACTGTGGAGGATCCAACATGGTTCCCAGAGGAACTCCAAACATGAACTGTGATGGTTCTTGTAGAAATCTGAACATACATAATGAATGTATGTATGAAATGTTTTTAAATAGTAATTACATTATTTAACTTAGTAAAATACATATCATTGAAACATTTTTAGAATATTTAATATTACATGTGTTTGTGCTGATTTTGTGTTTCAGTTCAGTCTGATATGAACCATGATGGTTCTTGTAGAAATCTGAAACATTTAATAGAATTGTTAAATAGTAATTACATTATTTAACTTTGTAAAATGCATATTATCATTGTAACATTTTTAGAATATTTTAACATTTGTATTACCGCTTATGTATCTGTAAATAAATACAATCTGATTATTGATCAGCTCTGGAGGCCAGACTGAGATCCAGGGAGACACAGCTGGAGCAGCTAGTGAATCACACTGCAGGTAACATCCACTCTTCAATATTACTTTTTATTAATCAGTAATTAAACTATTGATTAAACATCAATCATTTTCCTGTGCAGCTCTGGAGGTCAGACTGAGATCCAGTGAGAGACAGCTGGAAGATCTGAAGACAGAAAACACAGGTAACTCTGAACATTCAACACTAACAGTAGATTTGTAATCTTGTAGAATTATATTTACTGTATATTAACTGTGAAATTCATATTAAGTGTTATAGTTTGGAGCAGAGTCAAAGTTTTTAGCTCAAAGAAAAGACTGAAACTGTGGAGGATCCAACACGGTTCCCTGAGGAACTCCTTTAGAAACTTGAAGGAACCGTAATGGTTCTTGCAGAAACCTCAAACAGATATAATTGAGTTGTTAAATAGTAATTACATTATTCAGCTAAGTAAAATACATAATTATCATCATTGTAATATTTTTAGAATATCTTATAGTAGACGTGTGTTTGTGCTGATTTTGTGTTTCAGTTCAGTCTGATAAACTTTCCTTGATGGAGTCCAGCCTGGCAGACAGCCTCAACAACTCAGCAGGTAGAGTTAGATTTTGTATTAAAAAAAAAAATTATGCTTATGTATCTATATTAAATATATCTATATTAAAAACTCAGCTCTGGAGGTCAGACTGAGATCCACTGAGAAACAGCTGGAGAATCACACTGCAGGTAACATTCACTCTTCAATATTACTTTTAATTCTTGATAAATAAGCCATTGAATTAAACATGAGTCATTTCCTGTTCAGCTCTGGAGGTTAGACTGAGTGTCAGTGAGAAACAGCTAGAAGATCTAAAGACAGAAAACACAGGCAACTCTGAACATTTAAAACTTACTATAGATTTAAATCATTGTATTGTTATATATTTACTGTATATTAACTGTGAAATTCGTAGAGTGAGAGAGAGTTTGGAGCAGAGTCAAAGTTTTTAGCTCAAAGAAACTAAAGACTGAAACTGTGGAGGATCCAACATGGTTCCCAGAGGAACTCCAAACATGAACTGTGATGGTTCTTGTAGAAATCTGAACATACATAATGAATGTATGTATGAAATGTTTTTAAATAGTAATTACATTATTTAACTTAGTAAAATACATATCATTGAAACATTTTTAGAATATTTAATATTACATGTGTTTGTGCTGATTTTGTGTTTCAGTTCAGTCTGATATGAACCATGATGGTTCTTGTAGAAATCTGAAACATTTAATAGAATTGTTAAATAGTAATTACATTATTTAACTTTGTAAAATGCATATTATCATTGTAACATTTTTAGAATATTTTAACATTTGTATTACCGCTTATGTATCTGTAAATAAATACAATCTGATTATTGATCAGCTCTGGAGGCCAGACTGAGATCCAGGGAGACACAGCTGGAGCAGCTAGTGAATCACACTGCAGGTAACATCCACTCTTCAATATTACTTTTTATTAATCAGTAATTAAACTATTGATTAAACATCAATCATTTTCCTGTGCAGCTCTGGAGGTCAGACTGAGATCCAGTGAGAGACAGCTGGAAGATCTGAAGACAGAAAACACAGGTAACTCTGAACATTCAACACTAACAGTAGATTTATAATCTTGTAGAATTATATTTACTGTATATTAACTGTGAAATTCATATTAAGTGTTATAGTTTGGAGCAGAGTCAAAGTTTTTAGCTCAAAGAAAAGACTGAAACTGTGGAGGATCCAACACGGTTCCCTGAGGAACTCCTTTAGAAACTTGAAGGAACCGTAATGGTTCTTGCAGAAACCTCAAACAGATATAATTGAGTTGTTAAATAGTAATTACATTATTCAGCTAAGTAAAATACATAATTATCATCATTGTAATATTTTTAGAATATCTTATAGTAGACGTGTGTTTGTGCTGATTTTGTGTTTCAGTTCAGTCTGATAAACTTTCCTTGATGGAGTCCAGCCTGGCAGACAGCCTCAACAACTCAGCAGGTAGAGTTAGATTTTGTATTAAAAAAAAAAATTATGCTTATGTATCTATATTAAATATATCTATATTAAAAACTCAGCTCTGGAGGTCAGACTGAGATCCACTGAGAAACAGCTGGAGAATCACACTGCAGGTAACATTCACTCTTCAATATTACTTTTAATTCTTGATAAATAAGCCATTGAATTAAACATGAGTCATTTCCTGTTCAGCTCTGGAGGTTAGACTGAGTGTCAGTGAGAAACAGCTAGAAGATCTAAAGACAGAAAACACAGGCAACTCTGAACATTTAAAACTTACTATAGATTTAAATCATTGTATTGTTATATATATTTACTGTATATTAACTGTGAAATTCGTAGAGTGAGAGAGAGTTTGGAGCAGAGTCAAAGTTCTTAGCTCAAAGAAACTAAAGACTGAAACTGTGGAGGATCCAACACGGTTCCCTGAGGAACTCCTTTAGAAACTTGAAGGAACCGTAATGGTTCTTGCAGAAACCTCAATCAGATATAATTGAGTTGTTAAATAGTAATTACATTATTCAGCTAACATTTTTAGAATATCTTATAGTAGACGTGTGTTTGTGCTGATTTTGTGTTTCAGTTCAGTCTGATAAACTTTCCTCGATGGAGTCCAGACTGGCAGACAGCCACAACAACTCAGCAGGTAGAGTTAGATTTACTTTAGTGTTTTCATAGTAGTAGTAATTACTTAATGAACCAGATATTTACTGTTTCCTCTTTAGAGCTGGAGGTCAGACTGAGTGTCAGCGAGAAACAGCTGGAAGATCTGAAGACAGAAAACACAGGCAACTCTGAACATTTAAAACTTTAGATTTATAAATATTATCTGTATAAAGTGGAAAATAATATCCTTTTAGCTAAAACAGTCCAGGTAGTGATTCTTTTAACTGAAAATGTAGAAGATCCAAGCAGGTTCCCTGAGGAACACCTTTATCACCCTGAGAGTTCTTGTAGAAACCTCGGTGTCTTTTTATATTTTGAAGTGGAAATGTGTTTGTGCTGATTTTGTGTTTCAGTTCAGTCTGATAAACTTTCCTTGATGGAGTCCAGCCTGGCAGACAGCCACAACAACTCTGCAGGTAGAGTTAGATTTACATTAACATTTGTATTACGGCTTATGTATCTGTAAATAAATCCAATCTGATTATTGATCAGCTCTGGAGGTCAGACTGAGATCCACTGAGAAACAGCTGGAGCAGCTAGTGAATCACACTGCAGGTAACATCCACTCTTCAATATTACCTTTTATTAATCAATAATTAAACTATTGAATTAAACATCAATCATTTTCCTGTGCAGCTCTGGAGGTCAGACTGAGATCCAGTGAGAGACAGCTGGAAGATCTGAAGACAGAAAACACAGGTAACTCTGAACATTCAACACTAACAGTAGATTTATAATCTTGTAGAATTGTTTTGTATTTACTGTATATTAACTGTGAAATTCATACAAAGTGTTATAGTTATGTATATGTAAGAGGACATAATTTTCTGCCATAACATGGAGCAGAGTCAAAGTTTTTAGGTTAAAGAAAAGACTGAAACTGTGGAGGATCCAATCAGGTTCCCTGAGGAACTCCTTTAGAAACATTAATAAACTGTGATGGTTCTTGTAGAATCCTCAAACATGTAATTTAGTTTTTAAATAATAATTACATTATTCAAGTGAGTACAACTAACATTTTCTAGAATATCTTATAGTAGACGTGTGTTTGTGCTGATTTTGTGTTTCAGTTCAGTCTGATAAACTTTCCTTGATGGAGTCCAGCCTGGCAGACATCCTCAACAACTCAGCAGGTAGAGTTAGATTTATATTAAAAAATATTATGCTTATGTATCTATATTAAATATATCTATATTAAAAACTCCAATCTGACTATTGATCAGCTCTGGAGGTCAGACTGAGATCCACTGAGAAACAGCTGGAGAATCACACTGCAGGTAACATTCACTCTTCAATATTACTTTTTATTAATCAATAATTAAACTATTGAATTAAACACCAATCATTTTCCTGTGCAGCTCTGGAGGTCAGACTGAGATCCAGTGAGAGACAGCTGGATGATCTGAAGACAGAAAACACAGGTAACTCTGAACATTCAACACTAACAGTAGATTTATAATCTTGTAGAATTGTTTTGTATTTACTGTATATTAACTGTGAAATTCATACAAAGTGTTATAGTTATGTATATGTAAGAGGACATAATTTTCTGCCATAACATGGAGCAGAGTCAAAGTTTTTAGGTTAAAGAAAAGACTGAAACTGTGGAGGATCCAATCAGGTTCCCTGAGGAACTCCTTTAGAAACATTAATAAACTGTGATGGTTCTTGTAGAATCCTCAAACATATAATTTAGTTTTTAAATAATAATTACATTATTCAAGTCAGTACAACTAACATTTTCTAGAATATCTTATAGTAGACGTGTGTTTGTGCTGATTTTGTGTTTCAGTTCAGTCTGATAAACTTTCCTTGATGGAGTCCAGCCTGGCAGACAGCCACAACAACTCAGCAGGTAGAGTTAGATTTATATTAAAAAAGATTATGCTTATGTATCTATATTAAATATATCTATATTAAAAACTCCAATCTGACTATTGATCAGCTCTGGAGGTCAGACTGAGATCCACTGAGAAACAGCTGGAGAATCACACTGCAGGTAACATTCACTCTTCAATATTTGTTACTGAGGCAACTAGGTAGGGCTAGTTCATCAAGGTTTTCAGCTAGTGAACAGGATGGTGTATCGGTCAGGACACAGGAATGAAGACGAGGAGATGTAATTTCTTCCTTCAACTGTATTGAGCTCCAGCAGTACTCATCAGAACATTCCAATATCCATCTTTGTCATTATAGTCTGTATAAACCAAATAAATCACTATTAGGTACTTGAATTACTATGCAACGTGAATAACAAATCCACATACATTATGTAATTAAATCATCCAACATAAACATCTCAAAACATTGCTATTCCCCTTTAAACATAAGTTTACAATTACAGAAATGTGGATATTACTCCTTGGAAAGACATAAGGAGCTACACGTAGCTCACTGACCAGTTTAAATCATAGATTACATTGAAAGGGGTTCACATAAGGAGCAATGGCGACACCCTCTGGCTAGCCGAGGCTACTACACAATAGTGTCTGCACATGGTCTAATAAACACAATACGAACACTCCTTAATTCAATGTTATAGGTGTCACTGCGTAACTTAGACATCAGAAGGCTCACACCAGGTAACTTATTATTTCCTGCAGCGTTTTACAGCATGAACATTGTGCTAACATTAGAAATCTCACTCATCACGCTGGCCACATGTGAATGCATGTTAACTCTACAATACAGAAACAAACACAACAAAGTTACAGTCACTTACTTTTCGTCATTAACTCAACACGTGGAATATTGGAAGCTGGATCATTCAGGAGGAAATAAACATGCTAATCGTCACAGGTACGTGGGCTAAACTATGCTCGTTGAACTTGAAAAAGTTTCCGTTCCCACTATAACCAACACACTAGCTACACACTTCCCCTACCGTAACCACAGAAGAAGAGTCTTAAAGCGGCAGGCACCCAAAAATGTCAGAGCCTTTTATACAATATTACTTTTAATTCTTGATAAATAAGCCATTGAATTAAACATGAGTCATTTCCTGTTCAGCTCTGGAGGTCAGACTGAGTGTCAGTGAGAAGCAGCTGGAAGATCTGAAGACAGAAAACACAGGTAACTCTGAACATTTAAAACTTACTGTAGATTTATATCAATGTATTGTAATGTATATAAATGATGTAAATTTACAGTATAGTTAATGTGAAATTCATACAAAGTGAAAGAGAGTTTGGAGCAGAGTCAAAGTTCTTAGCTCAAAGAAACTAAAGACTGAAACTGTGGAGGATCCAACACGGTTCCCTGAGGAACTCCTTTAGAAACTTGAAGGAACCGTAATGGTTCTTGCAGAAACCTCAATCAGATATAATTGAGTTGTTAAATAGTAATTACATTATTCAGCTAACATTTTTAGAATATCTTATAGTAGACGTGTGTTTGTGCTGATTTTGTGTTTCAGTTCAGTCTGATAAACTTTCCTCGATGGAGTCCAGACTGGCAGACAGCCACAACAACTCAGCAGGTAGAGTTAGATTTACTTTAGTGTTTTCATAGTAGTAGTAATTACTTAATGAACCAGATATTTACTGTTTCCTCTTTAGAGCTGGAGGTCAGACTGAGTGTCAGCGAGAAACAGCTGGAAGATCTGAAGACAGAAAACACAGGCAACTCTGAACATTTAAAACTTTAGATTTATAAATATTATCTGTATAAAGTGGAAAATAATATCCTTTTAGCTAAAACAGTCCAGGTAGTGATTCTTTTAACTGAAAATGTAGAAGATCCAAGCAGGTTCCCTGAGGAACACCTTTATCACCCTGAGAGTTCTTGTAGAAACCTCGGTGTCTTTTTATATTTTGAAGTGGAAATGTGTTTGTGCTGATTTTGTGTTTCAGTTCAGTCTGATAAACTTTCCTTGATGGAGTCCAGCCTGGCAGACAGCCACAACAACTCTGCAGGTAGAGTTAGATTTACATTAACATTTGTATTACGGCTTATGTATCTGTAAATAAATCCAATCTGATTATTGATCAGCTCTGGAGGTCAGACTGAGATCCACTGAGAAACAGCTGGAGCAGCTAGTGAATCACACTGCAGGTAACATCCACTCTTCAATATTACCTTTTATTAATCAATAATTAAACTATTGAATTAAACATCAATCATTTTCCTGTGCAGCTCTGGAGGTCAGACTGAGATCCAGTGAGAGACAGCTGGAAGATCTGAAGACAGAAAACACAGGTAACTCTGAACATTCAACACTAACAGTAGATTTATAATCTTGTAGAATTGTTTTGTATTTACTGTATATTAACTGTGAAATTCATACAAAGTGTTATAGTTATGTATATGTAAGAGGACATAATTTTCTGCCATAACATGGAGCAGAGTCAAAGTTTTTAGGTTAAAGAAAAGACTGAAACTGTGGAGGATCCAATCAGGTTCCCTGAGGAACTCCTTTAGAAACATTAATAAACTGTGATGGTTCTTGTAGAATCCTCAAACATATAATTTAGTTTTTAAATAATAATTACATTATTCAAGTCAGTACAACTAACATTTTCTAGAATATCTTATAGTAGACGTGTGTTTGTGCTGATTTTGTGTTTCAGTTCAGTCTGATAAACTTTCCTTGATGGAGTCCAGCCTGGCAGACAGCCTCAACAACTCAGCAGGTAGAGTTAGATTTATATTAAAAAGATTATGCTTATGTATCTATATTAAATATATCTATATTAAAAACTCCAATCTGACTATTGATCAGCTCTGGAGGTCAGACTGAGATCCACTGAGAAACAGCTGGAGAATCACACTGCAGGTAACATTCACTCTTCAATATTTGTTACTGAGGCAACTAGGTAGGGCTAGTTCATCAAGGTTTTCAGCTAGTGAACAGGATGGTGTATCGGTCAGGACACAGGAATGAAGACGAGGAGATGTAATTTCTTCCTTCAACTGTATTGAGCTCCAGCAGTACTCATCAGAACATTCCAATATCCATCTTTGTCATTATAGTCTGTATAAACCAAATAAATCACTATTAGGTACTTGAATTACTATGCAACGTGAATAACAAATCCACATACATTATGTAATTAAATCATCCAACATAAACATCTCAAAACATTGCTATTCCCCTTTAAACATAAGTTTACAATTACAGAAATGTGGATATTACTCCTTGGAAAGACATAAGGAGCTACACGTAGCTCACTGACCAGTTTAAATCATAGATTACATTGAAAGGGGTTCACATAAGGAGCAATGGCGACACCCTCTGGCTAGCCGAGGCTACTACACAATAGTGTCTGCACATGGTCTAATAAACACAATACGAACACTCCTTAATTCAATGTTATAGGTGTCACTGCGTAACTTAGACATCAGAAGGCTCACACCAGGTAACTTATTATTTCCTGCAGCGTTTTACAGCATGAACATTGTGCTAACATTAGAAATCTCACTCATCACGCTGGCCACATGTGAATGCATGTTAACTCTACAATACAGAAACAAACACAACAAAGTTACAGTCACTTACTTTTCGTCATTAACTCAACACGTGGAATATTGGAAGCTGGATCATTCAGGAGGAAATAAACATGCTAATCGTCACAGGTACGTGGGCTAAACTATGCTCGTTGAACTTGAAAAAGTTTCCGTTCCCACTATAACCAACACTAGCTACACACTTCCCCTACCGTAACCACAGAAGAAGAGTCTTAAAGCGGCAGGCACCCAAAAATGTCAGAGCCTTTTATACAATATTACTTTTAATTCTTGATAAATAAGCCATTGAATTAAACATGAGTCATTTCCTGTTCAGCTCTGGAGGTCAGACTGAGTGTCAGTGAGAAGCAGCTGGAAGATCTGAAGACAGAAAACACAGGTAACTCTGAACATTTAAAACTTACTGTAGATTTATATCAATGTATTGTAATGTATATAAATGATGTAAATTTACAGTATAGTTAATGTGAAATTCATACAAAGTGAAAGAGAGTTTGGAGCAGAGTCAAAGTTCTTAGCTCAAAGAAACTAAAGACTGAAACTGTGGAGGATCCAACACGGTTCCCTGAGGAACTCCTTTAGAAACTTGAAGGAACCGTAATGGTTCTTGCAGAAACCTCAATCAGATATAATTGAGTTGTTAAATAGTAATTACATTATTCAGCTAACATTTTTAGAATATCTTATAGTAGACGTGTGTTTGTGCTGATTTTGTGTTTCAGTTCAGTCTGATAAACTTTCCTCGATGGAGTCCAGACTGGCAGACAGCCACAACAACTCAGCAGGTAGAGTTAGATTTACTTTAGTGTTTTCATAGTAGTAGTAATTACTTAATGAACCAGATATTTACTGTTTCCTCTTTAGAGCTGGAGGTCAGACTGAGTGTCAGCGAGAAACAGCTGGAAGATCTGAAGACAGAAAACACAGGCAACTCTGAACATTTAAACTTTAGATTTATAAATATTATCTGTATAAAGTGGAAAATAATATCCTTTTAGCTAAAACAGTCCAGGTAGTGATTCTTTTAACTGAAAATGTAGAAGATCCAAGCAGGTTCCCTGAGGAACACCTTTATCACCCTGAGAGTTCTTGTAGAAACCTCGGTGTCTTTTTATATTTTGAAGTGGAAATGTGTTTGTGCTGAATTTGTGTTTCAGTTCAGTCTGATAAACTTTCCTTGATGGAGTCCAGCCTGGCAGACAGCCACAACAACTCTGCAGGTAGAGTTAGATTTACATTAACATTTGTATTACGGCTTATGTATCTGTAAATAAATCCAATCTGATTATTGATCAGCTCTGGAGGTCAGACTGAGATCCACTGAGAAACAGCTGGAGCAGCTAGTGAATCACACTGCAGGTAACATCCACTCTTCAATATTACCTTTTATTAATCAATAATTAAACTATTGAATTAAACATCAATCATTTTCCTGTGCAGCTCTGGAGGTCAGACTGAGATCCAGTGAGAGACAGCTGGAAGATCTGAAGACAGAAAACACAGGTAACTCTGAACATTCAACACTAACAGTAGATTTATAATCTTGTAGAATTGTTTTGTATTTACTGTATATTAACTGTGAAATTCATACAAAGTGTTATAGTTATGTATATGTAAGAGGACATAATTTTCTGCCATAACATGGAGCAGAGTCAAAGTTTTTAGGTTAAAGAAAAGACTGAAACTGTGGAGGATCCAATCAGGTTCCCTGAGGAACTCCTTTAGAAACATTAATAAACTGTGATGGTTCTTGTAGAATCCTCAAACATATAATTTAGTTTTTAAATAATAATTACATTATTCAAGTCAGTACAACTAACATTTTCTAGAATATCTTATAGTAGACGTGTGTTTGTGCTGATTTTGTGTTTCAGTTCAGTCTGATAAACTTTCCTTGATGGAGTCCAGCCTGGCAGACAGCCTCAACAACTCAGCAGGTAGAGTTAGATTTATATTAAAAAAGATTATGCTTATGTATCTATATTAAATATATCTATTAAAAACTCCAATCTGACTATTGATCAGTTCTGGAGGTCAGACTGAGATCCACTGAGAAACAGCTGGAGAATCACACTGCAGGTAACATTCACTCTTCAATATTACTTTTTATTAATCAATAATTAAACTATTGAATTCGACATTCAACACTTATGTAGATTCATCTGACTGTTAAAGACCAGCAGACAGATGGACGTCAGGACTTTAAAAAATACGTACATTTCCAGTTTCCTGTTTTTGTCTGAACTGTTTTCTGCTGTTCAGATTTGAGCTTCAGACTGAACCAAACTGACGATCGTCTGCAGCAGCTCTCAAACACCAACTCAGGTTTGGACTTAAACTTAATTTTCTTCTGTTTGTGTCAACCAGAAAATATTTCACCGTCACGTTAGTATGACGTTAGTTTCTGGTGTGTTGTCCACTGAGCAAAACGTTTCATCCTCCGGTTTTAAAAGACCTTTCAACAATCTGAGGAAAAAGTTTTTGTTTTTTGTGATGCAGAAAAGTCAGAGGACATTCAAGACCTGGTCAACTTTATTTAAAAGGTTCTGTCTCTGGTTGACAGGACGACCACCTTCATTGTTCTGTGACTGTAAATTAGCAGAAAGATGAAACGCTGTGAAACTGGAGGTTTAAAACCTGAGAGTTTCCGATTTTTTAAGAAAGTTACAAACTCCTGCTGCGCTGAGTCAGTGTTTATTCAGTTTGAACTTTGTCAAAAGCTGTTTTTTTACCATTAGCTGCTATGCTATATGCAGCTAGTGCAAAGCTAATTCTAACGTTTGTTAGCAAGAATTAATGTCATTATCAGAGACTCAAAGTTTCTGTGAGTGTGATGTAATGCTATCTTCACCGCGCTGCTAACTGTTTGTGTCTGTAACTGGTAACTTTATGATAAATGTTGAAGAACTAATAACATGAATTAAGCCTTTCTTGGCCAGGGTGCCCTTGAAAAACAGATTTTTTCTCACTGGGTCTTTTCCCCTGGTTAAATAAATAAAAGCCAGATTGTTGTTTGCAGCTCTCATTAATGAATAAATTGATTTAGTGATTGATTTGATCTGGAATCCTAATCTACAAAACTTCATTTCAAATGTCAGATCAGATTTTCAAATGAAATGTTTCACTACCTGTAAACTGAACATCAATATAATAAAGGTCTTTTTATTTCTTTATAAATGACGACGTTGTTGTGAAGCGTGTTTTTATAGCTTTAGCTAAAGGTTAAATCTTTTCCTCCAGGTGAGCTGAAGGTGGCGTTCTCAGCCGGTCTCACTGATTCAGGAGCCGTCGGCCCGTTTGACGAGGAGACGACTCTGATCTTCTCCAAAGTCTTCACCAATGTTGGCCGCGCCTACAACCAGACTGCAGGTAAAGCTTTAAGGCCACACCCTGACGTTGACACACAGGTACACCTTCGAGTTATACATGAATAAAGTGAATCTTCGTATGATCTCTGGTTTTTATATTTGTTGAGTGATTTCTGTATTTTCGACTTCATCCAGCTTAAAGTTAAACTCCACTGATAGTCTGTGTTTGGAGATCATTCTTTAAAACTTTGTTTGTTGCTCCTTCACAAAGAAACTCTGATGGTTTGCTAAACACGCTAACACATGGCTACATACTCGACTTATGTTGCTGGGACAGAGCAGCTAACTACTTTAGCAACAAACAATTATTTATTTATATTTAGTACGGTGTCCCTGAGAGCTCAAAACACAAGCAAATACAGACACGCTGTTAGTGACACGGAACACATCAGTTTAATTATTCTGATTGCATGATTCAGATTTGCTAAAGGCTAACGCTAGCTAACCTGCAGATATCTGAACACGTGCTCGCTGTTCGTCAGGTGTGTTCACAGCTCCTGTCAGAGGACTCTACTTCTTCAGCTTCACGGCTGCAGATTACCTGAAGGGATACATGGGGCTCTACCTGCACAGGAACAACCAGCCAATCATCTTCAACCTGGACCTGAACGACCACGGCGGCTACGCCTCCACGTCCAACGGCGTGGCACTGCAGCTGGAGGTGGGCGACGCAATCCGCCTCAGTCTGCCGGCGAGCTACCGGCTCTACGACGACTCCCGAAACTTCAGCGTCTTCTCCGGCTTCCTGCTGTTCCCCCTCTGACAGGACCAGGATCAGGGACTGAGGGAGAAACTGTGCTACCAGACTGGAACTGATAGACGGGACTTTTGTTTTGGTGGGAATGACTTCTTGCGGTTACAACCAGGACTTCTGAAGATGATGGTGATGTGGAAGTTTATCTCTGAAGCTAATGAACATTAATAAAAGAGTCTGAGCGAGAGTAAACATTTAAATATCACAACTCGTATTTCAGCAACGAGAGTCGCGTTGCTGTTCTGGAGCTTTAGATTGGCTGTTTTCTGAGTCATTCTTAACTGGGGGTGGGGGATGTTTTTACTATTTGTAGGAACTGAGTTTGTTCTTATTTCACCATTATATAACTATACTTCAGTCTCCACCTTATTTAAGTGTCACTCACTTGTTGAACCCGCCTCCTTCAGTTCTCTCCACACAGACCGAACGTACCTCTGCTGCAAACACATCAGCGTGCCTCGCTTCTTCGCGTCTCTCCGTCTGCTCCGCTAACTTTCTCCATCAGTAGGAGGCTACGTTATGTAGAGTCGCCATAAAAAAAACAACAACTTGTCTTCCGTTCACAGCAGCAGCTGCGCCGCATGTTAGCCTTTCAAAACAAAACCAACGTGGCAGCTAACGATCTGCACTAAAACATCGCTTTACCTGGTCTGTGCTCGGAAAATCTCCACCGTGTCGCGACTTGTAACGTAAAGACTCCGTTTTTCTCTGATAAAGGCTTCAACGTGTCGCCATATATACCTGGGCGGCCGCTGAAGTAAAGCGTATGTGTGGGAAACACTGACTGAACCGTTTCACACACCGACGACCTGCTGAGCCACGGCTCGCCTGATGACGCTGCTCCAACACTGAACAGAGCCTGAACAGGTTCAGACGTCCTGTTCAGGCTCAGGAGGATATTATAGTATTCCAGGATTAATTTATGATTTAGATTATACTTTTCATATTTTAGTGTTTGTAGTTTTGAGCTGCAGGATCTCCAGTTTAATCATTCAGTGTTAATAATAAAACCGTAAATCTGTTTCCTCAGCAGCCGCTCTGCTTACAGATTCACGTTGAAGGCGTGTTGTCGTCGTCAGGAGGACGAGCGAGGCGTGAAAGAGCGTCAGCTGACTCGCAGCATCAACCAGCTTCTGGCGAAGTTAAAAGCCAATCGTCAAAGTAAGTCTCAAACTTTTATTACAGATTGACAAAAAACAGGAAACATTTCAACTGAACTTTGTGAGAAAGTTAAAACAAACTGTAGAAACAACCGAACCCCAAAGTTAAACCCAGCCAGCCCCTTCAAGTGATTCTCCCACAATATAAAATGTACATCGGTTAGTTAAAAATGACTTTAAATCCATGATTTTAGAAAAACATGACAGTCAGTGTGTAAAGTTCAGGCGTTCAGTAGTCTGACAGAATAATACAAACAGAAAGTAAAGTCACACCTGCAGTCTGTAACGTTCATGCTGCTCCTGTAAAAACTCTCTACACGCTAACATCAGGGTTTCTATAACAGTAATCAATAACCCGTTCAATCGTTGTGGTTCCCTCCAAACGAACGGCGGGAATGAAAAAGGAAAAACACCCACGAGTCAGTCGGAAAAATGTCTTTAAAAACTTCAGACGTCGGTCGGACGATTCGACGCGCCGTTCCTTTAAGACGAGGGATTCTTGCATAACAAAGGAATAAAAGTCCAGAGAAAATCAAAATGGCTTCAGATCCTTCATCTGTGAGGAGGAGGGAGATGAAGAGCGTTCAGTCACTCGGCATTGTGGGTACTGATCCTCCTGTGAACGGCCTGCAGCAGCAGCAGAGAGTACTCCTCCAGCAGAGCCGCCGTCTTCACCTCCCCCACCCCTCCCAGCCCCCCCTCCACTCGCAGCAGGCTCGGCGCGCCCAGCGGCAGACAGTCCAGCTCCGCCCTCATTGCCTGGAAGGCCTCTGATAGGACGACAGCCATCTGACGCTGGTCGGGGGCGGAGTCTTCGGCGGAGGAGCCGCTCACCTGGAGAGATTCAGAGAGAGAGACAGGTGAGCATCAGGTCGCTACGTGGTGACGTCATACTTTCCACATGTGACTAAAACGTTCAGCTTCCTCTGACTCACCTTCCTGTACAGGTGTGTCGCCCTCTTGAAGCAGCTCTGCAGCTCATTGGTCAGAGCTCTGCAGGTCTCCACACTGATTGGCTGGTCTGCACAAAGAGAGAGAGAGAGAGAGAGGAGCTAGAAATATGAACGCTGCCGAATGAATCCAGCAGGTCAGACCTGTGATCGCCACGGTCCCACCCAGCAGGTCAGACCTGTGATCGCCACGGTCCCACCCAGCAGGTCAGACCTGTGATCGCCACGGTCCCACCCAGCAGGTCAGACCTGTCACTGATTGTTCAAACTGACGTCTGTTACATTAATACAATCTGGCTCATTCAGACCGTCAGCAGCAAATAATGCAACACTGTGTTTGAGCTGCACCACAGTCATCCTCACTCAGACAGTCCCGTCATCTCCAGCCTGCTAAAAACGCCAGGACGGATCACTGATCACTTTTATACAGATTAAACAGTGATTCCTGCAGTAATGTAGCTCACAGTGTTAAAGATGGATTTTATAAATCCACGCTGTGCACAGATCTGTCCTCACATCGGTGACCGACTGATCATGAAGCGTCACGTTTGGGTAAAAAACTAACAGCCTGTCTATCAGGGATTTAAAATGTTCGACAGCGTGACTGAGGAAATGAAGCGGTGAGTCAGACAGCCGCCTCAGGCTCCGCAGTCCTGTGAACCCGAGGAGGAGGGAAGAAGAAGAAAAGTAACAACAAAGAAAGAGGAGTGAAACGTCTCACCCGTCAGAACAGAGCGAGAGGAGGAGGAGTGCAGTGATGAAGAGGAGGATGAAGGTGAGGGGCGGAGCCAGAGCCCAGAGCCCCGACGGAGAGACGACAGGATGAAGGGGTGAAGAAGAAGAGGAGGAGGATGAGAGTCCAAACCTGCGTCGCCTCTCTGCTCCTCGCCGCTGCCACCTGCAGGAGTCTGAGGCTCCTCCCCCTGCCGGGCGGGAGTTACGGGGGAGATGGAGACCGGAGGAGGCCGCGAAGAGGAAGACGAGGAGGTGGATGGTGAGAAGGAGGCGAGGGAGAGCTTGTCGGGCAGCGGCCTGCTGCTGCAGGGGACCCGAGCCTGGAGACCGCGGGGGGGAGGGGCCACCTGGTTACCCAGACTGGAGGAGGAGGCGACCACAACGGGGACAACAGCAACGTGGGGGGGCGTGGCCAGAGCTGCGTTGGAGGGCACCACAGCAACAAGAGGAGGCGGAGTCTCTTTGACCTGAGAGGAGGAGTTTTCTGTTGCCGCCGATGATGTCACTGCGGGATCCTCGGGGTCGGAGATGTTGAGGCCGTCGCCCACAGAGACGGAGCGGGACATCTTGGCCATGGAGCTGGCGGTGGGGCTCATGTAGGACCGAGGCACCGCCGGCGTGGAAGAGGAGGAGGACGAAGACTTCCTCGGGGTGCTGAGAGCAGGCGGAGCGGCGGCTGTTTCCTGCAGGGGGGACCGGGGAGAGGCGGGGCTTGGTCTCTGAGGAGGCGGGGCTGTGGATGGGGGGCGTCTGGGGGAGGAGGGGAGGGTGGTGGGACGTTGTGGGGGGAGGAGCTGCTGAGGGGGGACCTCCCTGGACAGACGAGAGGACTCACCTGAGGAGAGAGAGGTGAAGTTTAAGTCCTCTGACAGTCTGGATCTTACTGCTCACCTGTTTCCTGATCTGTTACCTGCGTCGCTCAGCAGGTTCTGGACTGACTGAGCCTTCCGAAGTCCGGAGGAGGAGTTCAGATGGGAGGCGGCAGCCCGGGCTGTCGGGCCCAGGTTCCTCCTGGACTCCACCACAGTTTGGACCTTCTTCTTAAGAGGGGATGGCCGGTGCTGGATTGAGGAGGTCTCCTCCTCCACCCGGCTCTGCAGCTGATCTGTACCCTGCTGGATCTGGTTCCCCACCTGAGGAGGCCGTGTTTGGTCCTGGTTTGTTCCGTTCTGGAACTGTACCTGATCTTGAAGTGGGGGGGTCTGATCCTGGATAGGTTTTTGGATTTGGTCATGGTTCCATGACACCCTCTTGTCCTGGGTCCGGTTCTGGTTCTGCTCCATCAGAGGTCGGACCTCTGAGACCCGAGGATGGGCCTTCACCTCTCCTCCTCCCCCGGTGGTCCGAGATGGGAGAGGAAGCACAGTCCGACTGAAGAGGAGGAGAAAGAGAAGACTCATTATCAGAAACAGAACCAGAACCTCTACAGAGGTCAGTGATCAGGATCACTTAACGTGCCGAGTCATCACAAAGTGTGGTTGGATGTTTCACCTTCCAGCTGAATTCTGGGAGAGGAACCTGGAGGAGATGCTGAGACTCTCGCTGGAACTGTGCGACGCTCGGCTCGGACTCCCTGTAACACAGTTCACCTGTTTAAATCCACCTGGTTCAGACCCGGCAAGACCACATAGGAAGAGCAACTCATCTGAGCGTCTTCTTCAACCACTGGACAGTTTGTTGTGACAGCGGTTCAATGTTCACCAGAGAATTCAGTGATCTCGTTAGAATGAATTGATTTTGTGTTTTTAATGCTGGCGCGACGTCAATGTTGAAAATCCAGCAGCTGAAGTTTGTGTTTTGAGTTTTTACCACTATCATGACACACTGCTGGTAAACGACTAGCTCAGCCGTCTGTACAGTTAACAGTCCTGCGAGAGGCTTCCCACACAGGCGGAGTGTGCGGTGTCAGCGCGACAGTTATTACGACACCGTCAGCGAGACAGTGATTACGACGTCGCGTTGACGGTGTCGTAATCACTGTCTCGCTGACGGTGTCGTGCTGACGGTGTCGCGCTGACGGTGTCGTAATCACTGTCGCGCTGACGGTGTCGTGCTGACGGTGTCGCGCTGACGGTGTCGTAATCACTGTCGCGCTGACGGTGTAGTGCTGACGGTGTCGCGCTGACGGTGTCGTAATCACTGTCGCGCTGACGGTGTCGTGCTGATGGTGTCGCGCTGACGGTGTCGTAATCACTGTCGCGCTGACGGTGTAGTGCTGATGGTGTCGCGCTGACGGTGTCGTGCTGACGATGTCGGGCTGACGGTGTCGTAATCACTGTCTCGCTGACGGTGTCGCGCTGACGGTGTCGTAATCACTGTCGCGCTGACGGTGTAGTGCTGATGGTGTCGCGCTGACGGTGTCGTAATCACTGTCGCGCGGTGTCGTAATCACTGTCGCGCTGACGATGTCGCGCTGACGGTGTCGTAATCACTGTCGCGCTGACGGTGTCGTAATCACTGTCGCGCTGACGATGTCGCGCTGACGGTGTCGTAATCACTGTCGCGCTGACGATGTCGCGCTGACGGTGTCGTGCTGACGATGTCGGGCTGACGGTGTCGTAATCACTGTCGCGCTGACGGTGTCGTGCTGATGGTGTCGCGCTGACGGTGTCGTGCTGATGGTGTCGCGCTGACGGTGTCGTGCTGACGATGTCGGGCTGACGGTGTCGTAATCACTGTCGCGCTGACGGTGTAGTGCTGACGGTGTCGCGCTGACGGTGTCGTAATCACTGTCGCGTTGACGGTGTCGTAATCACTGTCGCGCTGACGGTGTCGTGCTGATGGTGTCGTGCTGACGATGTCGTAATCACTGTCGCGCTGACGATGTCGCGCTGACGGTGTCGTAATCACTGTCGCGCTGACGGTGTCGTAATCACTGTCGCGCTGACGGTGTCGCGCTGACGGTGTCGTAATCACTGTCGCGCTGACGGTGTCGCGCTGACGATGTCGTAATCACTGTCGCGTTGACGGTGTCGTAATCACTGTCGCGCTGACGGTGTCGCGCTGACGGTGTCGTAATCACTGTCGCGTTGACGGTGTCGTAATCACTGTCGCGCTGACGGTGTCGTGCTGATGGTGTCGTGCTGACGATGTCGTAATCACTGTCGCGCTGACGATGTCGCGCTGACGGTGTCGTAATCACTGTCG